AGGAATGCACGGGTCATTGTAACGGCTTTCTTGGACTGTCCTTTTTCCTCCGTGGTTTAGCAACTTCCCCAGTCATTAGCACAGCACTCCAAGCAACTAATCCTGTATCTATAAACTGTAATGTCAAAGGATTAATGTGTGCCTGGGAATGCAGGTCAAATCTGCTTTAGATCACAAAATTTGAGTTCAGCTGCTAGCTGAAATATCACGAAACTACCATATAATTTAGTACAAGTCTTGCATTCCTATACCTCAGCTGCTGGTTGCCTTTAATAAAAAGAGGCCCTGGGTTGATTTCCCTGAGAATGTATTTTTCTTTGTCCAAAACCAAAGTAGTATCAGCTGGAAAATAGAAGGATTTCTTAAAATAGTTCTGTATTTGATATAAATAGCACTTTCAAAGTCTGCTTTTAAAGTACTGTAGAAAGTACAGTATGGCAAGTTACTGATACTTCCCGAGTTTCTTCTGTTTGCCGTTACAGCGCCCAGGTCTTGTGAGCATCTCTTGGTGTTGTGCCCTGCCTTCCACTGCACAGCAGCTCAGACCAGCAGCACTGCACACAGTGGCATACATTAGCTGAGTCTCATTTGACACTAAGGACAGTTTTTACAAAAATATTAATCTAATTTATGCAATACATAGACTGATATGTGCAGTACGCAGGCATATATAACTAAATTTGTTTTACTTGTGTTGGGTCACCAAAAGCACAGCAATTTATATCTAATTCTCTGCAAAAGTAATATCCAGAATCTCTTCTTTCCTTTCTTGAGACTTCTGTTAGGTACTATAGTCGTGTGTCTTTCAAGGTTTTTCACAGATGAATTCTTGTAATATGTTTTTGCTTCCAGGAAAAAGTGGCAGGTATCCTTTTAGAAAATTAGTTTGATTTTAACATTGAAATGTAATTGAGAGTAGGTAAATTACTTCACTTTTGGTTAGTGTGGGTGGGCTTTCAGTTAATTTTGTTCTATTTTAAGGCTACAGTGTATTGTATTATCCCAACATAAAAATATTACCAGTCTTAGATATGTCTATTTCATTATAACATATAAAAAGTGATACTGTGCCCCACTGTACATGTCTTAGTGAAGGGGCTGTGTGTTCAAACTCTTCTTCTGACCAAATTTATTTATATTGAAGTGCAAACTGAATACCCCGCATGTTGTCAAAATGTATAGATACCATTGCAGCAGCTGATTTTTTTTAATTTGTTTTGTTGATTTACTTAGAGACGATAGTTTACCAGATGGCATAGCAAGCAGTGTACTTTTGCTGACCTAGGAAACCCTCCTGGGCTGAGCTGGTGGTTCCTGGTGCTGCCACCGTCCTCCTGGAGCAAGGGGCTGTGTTCACGCTCATGGGCACCCGGTTCAAAACTGACAGAACTGAGCATTTCATAACCATGTTCTTCTTTGGTTCATATTTTTAAAAATTTAACCTGGGCTGAGCACAAAGCCTGCCCAGTGTCTGAAGTGCAGCGTGCCTGGAAACCCAACTTCATTTCAAGTTTCATTTAAAGTTCTGTCTCCCAGGCTGGGCTGCGGTGCTGTAGGACTTTACTGACAGTTGTTTTGTCACGGCCTGACAGGTTCTTCGCTCCGTGCTGCTCTTCCCGACGATCGAGCGAATGGCGCAGTCCCCTCAAGGAAAGCTGATGACCCCTTTGCTCTGCAAACTCCGTTACGCGCTGTACATGCCCGTCTACCTGCTGTCCTTCCTGCCGGAGGGAGTCAAAGCCTCCCTGGTGCGGTTCGCTCTGCGAGGGATGAAGACCTGTGACGAATCTTCCATAACAACCTCCGTCAATCTCTTCAGCGTGGACTGCATTGGTGAGCACCTTTTTTTTTCTTACACCAACTTTTGCATTGTTCTCATTTAGTAAACGTTGATGTAGTTTTGTGCACAAAAGCTTAACGCTAAAGTATGAATAAGTTTTGAAGAAGGACAGGTCTAATCTTTTCTCAAATTAAAGGAAAAAAACGAAATAAAATATTTTTTCAAAGGATATATTTCTTAAGAAAACTGACCTGTGCTACTAAGAGTATCTCATGTTTTACAATCTAATTTATGTCTACTTACTTTCTGCATTTCATTCATACTGGATGGTGAAAATAAATCAGTAATCAGTTTCATGAAAGGTTCTTCCCATCTGTTTTTTTAAAGCTATGATTTAACCAGCTGTATAGATTTTGTCATCTGAATTGGAATGTTGGTAAATTCAAAAAAGGGCCTTCGGCCTACAAAGACTCATAGAAGTTACTTTATACACAGAAGAATTTCAGCACTTTTTTGGGCATATGGAGAAAGATGGGAAATTAACGTTCCTTCAGTGCATATTGTATGCATATTTTGCACATTCTAGAAAGAGAAAAGTCTTTAAGAAAGGGAATAATTTCAGATTAATTATGTTAAATTTAGAATGAAAACCAGAACATGGACTCTGCTATACTCCAGGTATTTTGGTAAGTTAGCAGTTGAAAACAATTTACAGTAGAATTGACATGCTAACACAGTAATAATAGCAAGAAGGAAGTTTTGCTTGCATTAATAGCAGTAAAAACACATTCCTACATTTCCAGTTGTGCTCTGTCTTCTATCAGTTAAATTTTACCTACTAATCACCCAAGCAGATGTGCCAGAGTAACTTTGACTGGGGTCCTACACCTTTCACAGGTATTTGTGGGTGTGTTGGTCTGTACTGAAGGCTGGCTGTGGGCCTGTACAGAGACTGAAAGCAGGATGGGCAGTGAGAAATATATAGAAATATAGACAGCCCTGTTTATGTTGTACAAACCTGGCGTAATGACAGTTGCTCCGCTGCAGTACCCTGTGCCTGACGAAATCAGGCTCCCCACTGATAAGGTAAATTTCTGATTGGAGTCCTGTAGTCTGTTGCTTCAGTTCCTGTTAATTTATGGCAGGTTTGTGATGACTGAGGAAAAAGCAAGCACACAGTCATACATACACGAGGCTTTCAGGTTTCTTCCTTTGATAGTTTAGTCTCGGAGAAAAGTATGTGAAGGTCTGTGGGGTCACACCTCCACAAGCCAGGAATCTTCCTCTGGTCCCCACAGATAAACTTCTACCTCTCAAAACAGGTTATCCACATCCAGGGTTGTATTGGAAATGGTCCTTGGCCTGCATTAACCTCCCAAAAAGCGTGGCCAGCCATTGTTTGTGAGGGCTTTTGGCCCAGACGACAGCAGTGGCAGGAGTAATTTAACAGAATGGGGTTTGTGTGCTGCTGTTGGAGCCTCACTCTCCAAGCTCTTCTGTCTCCAGGTGAATGAGCCCGGTTATGTGTGTGTGTGTCTGTCTGTGTGTGTGTCAGCCTGTTGTCATCTGTGTGTGCACCAGTGTCTGTGTCCAAGCTGTAAGGTAAATTGAGGCAAGAAATCAGGCTGAAAGCTCTGTACTCTTAGGATGTGATCTCTGCTTACGCTCAATTTATTGACTGGATTCATTATACCAGAATGAAACCCCCTGTGAGCCAATGTCTTGTAAAACTTGCATAAATGAGCCTTATTGATGCAACTCGTTCCTTTGAGCTTGTGATATCATCTCAAGCAGAATTCCCCTTTGGTTTCTTCTTTGGAAACTGATGATGTTTTACAGCCCAGTGACTCAGGGCCACATGTGTGGATTAATAATCTCAGAGCTTTCCGGATATTGCCTGTTAACCTTCTCTTGTATTGTTCGTGGACAATAGAAAATGTTACCATTCAGCAAAAATTTGCTAAACCTAGCACAACAACCGAGTTTGTCTTATGGGACTGCTCATCTGTGAGTTGCTGAAGCCTCTGAATTGGTGGTAAATATTTTTCTGATTGATTCCTCGTCCCTTAATAAACTACTAGATATGGTTCAGAAGCATTCAGCAGGTGAAGTTGTTTCTCCTCTCCAGGAAGGTTGCATGTCAACTCATTAAAAATACACACATTGCCTTTGGCTTTTACATCTGTTGCATTACTGTAATTGTAGTAAAAGCCGTGATTAAGGGCAGAAAGATGGTAAAAGTTTCCTTAAAACTAATACGTCCGTTAAAACAAACCAACCTGCCAGGGATTTGTTACCACATCCAAAGCTTAGTCACAACAATGTTTTCTCTCCTCTGGAAGGAAATGAGATTTGAAAACTTAATTATAGCAGAACTCTTTAGACCGAGTGCCGCTCCCATCAACATGGAGACTGAAAAGCTTCATTCAGTGGCAGCAGAATCAGGCATTTGGTTGAAAGAGTCAGTAAAGAAAGACTTGTATTACCTGTTTATCCCCCTGTTTCAAATTATGTTTGCTCCTTCTTCGTATCCAAACTTGTCTTTCCGTTTTCCTAACATTATAGTTGACGGTGTGTAGAAACCCCAGCCACACAGCAGAAGGGATTGCAGTGACACTGTGCAGAAAGATAACAAAATATAACATCTCATCCCAAAGGGGAAATAGTATGGGAAGAGAACAGACAGCAGGGGCTGTAAAGAAAATGGATTGTAAGGAAGGGTGGGAAGACACAGTGTATAAATAAAAAAGAACCTATTTGAAATAAGCAAGAGAGTCTGAATGCAGTTTGCCTACCTGGATTAAACTTCTAGCAAAGATACCTTAGGGCAGAAGAAGCATTACAGTGAACAGACTAGCATTTGGGTACTTGTATTCATGAACCTAGGAGATTAATAGACAGAAAAATTGGACATTAGTGACCTTGAGTTATCTGAAACATTGTCACTCTGTTTATTCAGGCTAACAAAACAAGGATACCCCTATCTAGCACAGTGGTGGCTGTTCTACAAATCATGCACGGTCCTGCAATGCTGGAGTACTTTGGCACTGCAGCGTGTTGAAATTGGTAAACATTTCTGCGGTGACAGATGCCAGTAGCAGCCTTACAGTGACAGTAAAGTGTTCTGTCTACGCGGGACAGGATTTATTGTCCAGCCGTTTGACTGGCAAACTTCCTCCGTTTGTTTCGGTAGAATTTCCACAAAAGCACAGACATGACATAATGGGTAAACAGCGCGAGGCTTTTTCGGGAGGCTGGCTCGCGGGTCAGAGGTTAACGTCTGGATGACAGGGAAGATACAGATAAGCACAATGGCAAGAAAAACCTCCAACTGGCCCGAGTGCGGTGCGTCCATTGTGATCTTGAACCTGTGACTTCTCTGGAGGAATCTCCCTGTTTGTTTAACCTACGCGGGAGCACGGAGTGCCGGGGCAGGGGAGGGGTCTGCTCTGTGCGATTCAGGCAGGTTGGGAAGGAGGGGACTCAGAAACCTGAAATGGGAGTTTCAAATGGGGTCAGGCTGGCACACAAATGCAAGCTGGAGGCAGTAGATTTCCAGTTTGTTTTAAGCATCCAAGGGATGTTGTAAGAAGACAAGGAATTAAGATTAAACTTCAGAGTTTGGATGCAAATTTTAACTCATTTCAAGTGTGGAGACATTCAGATTTCATGTGGAGTGATTGCATTTCCTTCATTGTACAGAGAAAAAAGGGCTAAGGCAATTCAAGGCACTCCACTCTTAGGCCTGCAGGACTGCATAGGAAGCAAGAGTCCTCACTGGGGTATTGAGGTTGGTATCCCAGCAGTAGCTACTTCTCTCTGTTGGGTCTACAGGATGGCAAAATTATATGTCTGAAGTGCCATAGAGGAAAAAGCTCTCTCATAGGATAAAATTTGCAGAACTGTCAAATAATATCTGGAGATAAATTTGTATCAAAAGCCAGTGAAATGCACACTTCCAGTTGCTATGAAAATGGAACATAAGCTTTTATGTTGACTAAGTTATGTTAAAATTTTATTTCCAGGGAGCCAACTGGAAAATTGCATTCTGGGTTTGAGCTATCCTAACCTTTGGAGTTACCATGTCTTGAAATCTGTTTCTATTCCAATTCTCTTTTCTTAATTGGAGAAATTTTAATTATGACATTATGGATGGTCTTCCTCTGACCACTGCAGACATCAGGCTGTCCAAATAGTTGACATCTAAGGCAGGACAGTTGAATCACACCTTACAGATGACTCTTTCTTTTTACTGATCTTCTAGGGATCCTCTTTCTACTAGATACCTAAAATTAGAGGAGACCAATCCTACTCTGTTTACTGGCTGCTCATTTTGCTGCATATATCAGGATAATAATAATAATAATAATGAATAATAATAATGTGATCTGAATTGTCCATGCATCCTTTTCCCATGCTGCCAGGACAGCCAGGTATCCCCTGCTTCAGCTGCATTACGGTTGGTTTCTAGTGAGAGTCCTGTTGCTTATTTCCTACCTTCTTTGAAAATTCACTTAACATCTCTACCTGCATTTCCTGACAAGTACAATAGAAAATCTTTTGCAGAGTTCTTTTTCGGGGACTAAAGTGCTGTAGAAATACCTATCTAACTGAAATACTTGTGGTATATTCATGGCAGTCAGTAGCTCCTCCATCTATTCTGCTCCTATTTTTCAGAATTTAAAAACTATTTTTAAAGTATTAGGTAAGCACTTGATAAACAAATTAAACTGAAATGGTGAAATAAGAGGGCTTTGCCCCCATAAAGAATATTTTTAAAAGCTAGGTAACTGTTACAAAGGTAAAATTTAGTTTACTTTGCTTTTTACTTGTTCTTTTCTTGCATTGAAATGACAATTTAAATCTAAAAAGTAACAGAAGCACCTCTAAATTCACACAGGAAGCAGAGCTCTTTTGATTTTGTTGGATGGAACTGAAAACCTCCATTGAGACGTGTAACGCCATGGGGGAGCTGTGTTGTCATCTAGGTTTTATTGTTTCAAACACGGTGCAAACACATTTTGAAAAGGACCTGACATTCAAGACAAGCAGC